TACAAGAGTCAATATATGGAAGCAACCCAAGTGTCCATCTACAAATGAATGGATAAAGAAGATATGGTGTATGTACAATGGAATATTATTCAGCCATAAAAGAATTAAATCTTACCATTTGCAGCAACATGGAAAAGAGCCAGAGAGTATAAAGCTAAGTGAAATAGTCAGAGAAAGACAAATACCATATGATTTCACTCATGTGGAATTTAAGAAACAAACAAAAAAAGAATAAAGAAAAAAAGAGACAGAGCAAGACTCTTAAACAGGGAACTGGTGAATAACAGAAGATGGGAGGTAGTGGTTGTGAAACAGACAAAGGGAATTATGAGTACACTTAACTTGATGAGCCCTGAGAAATGTACAGAATTGTCGAATCACTATATTGTACGCCTGACACTGTTGATTATACTTAAACAAACAATAAAATTAAATGTAAAAAAAAAACACACAAGAATGACAGCTAAACTCAGTCTTCTAAACCTGCAAGGAAGACAGAACAGGAAGGAGTCACTATCAGTCCAAGGAGGTCACTTCATTTAGAAATGTAAAATGGATAAACATTAGGTAACAGACTTGGGTTTTGACATTCTCTGCTCCAAAGACCCACAATGGGGGACAAACCAACAAGAACCTGAAATGTTCTAGAATTGGATGTACAGCCTACCACTGAGGGCAGGGAGCTTTACAGTGAAGCAAAAACAGAACGACTGTTTAGGAAAATACTGAGACCCTCAAATCCCTCCCCTCCCCAAGCAGCTGCTCCTCTCCCGCTTTATTCTATTGCTTAAATAAACCGAAATTAAAAGCCACTGGATTTAAGATACCTTACACAAATACGGGTACCTTACAAACACAGGAGGATTAAGTGAGGGTCTGTGTATAAGAAGGTAGACTCAGTGATGGCACGGACTTGCCATCTGTTGGTCACTGCTGCGTCCCCATTCCCTACCAGGTGCCTAGCACACAGAGTGTACTCAATAGACACGCAGCAGAGGAGTTTCAGAGAGGAATTTTTACAATCTCCAAGAAAACAGATCAATATCATGGATAGAAAACATGACAGAATATAAAAATGTGAACATCATGGGCACCTGGGTGGCTCAGTCGATTAAGTGTCTGCCTTTGGCTCAGGTCATGGTCCCAGGGTCCCGGGATCAAGTCCCGCTTTGGGCTCCCTGCTCAGCGGGGAGCCTGCTTCTCCCTCTACACCCCCCTCTGCTTGTGATCTCTCTCTCTCTCACACACACACTCTGTCTCTCAAATAAATAAATAAAATCTTTAAAAAAAATCTGAACATCAATCCAGGAGATTCAACATCTGACTAAAAGGACTATGTAGAATGAAAGAATAGAGAAAACTGGAAGGCAGGGGGGATTTACGGAGAAAGAATGCAGGATGTTTTGCAGAACTCAAGTTTCCTGGTTAAAATACCCACCAGCACAAAAAATGAAAATGTCATGGACTAGGAATGACAAGATTCTGAGATTCTATCTAAAAGGTATTTTAGGGAAAGCTCACAGGAATCAGAAATGAGAACGGTACAGGACTTCCACAGCAATCCCAAAGCTGAACTGTAACGAAATGACATCTTCTGTCCTGTTGGACATGGTTTCCAACCTGGAATTCTATACCTAGCTCAAAGAACAACCAAGACTGAAGATATAACGAAGACGTTTGCAGACATAGGAGGTTCTCAACGTTTACCTCCCGCATATCCTCTTTCCTCTCCTGCTCCCGAGAAAAGGCACCAGGAGAATGAATTCCACCCCGAGAGGGAACATAAGGAAAAGGGAGTCCTGGCGTCCAGGACACAGGGAGGGCTGCACTGAGGAGCGGACAGGAGAATTCCCAGGACGAGGGCAGAGGGAAGGCCCCCTAAGACAGCTGTGCGCGGTCTGCAAAGAAGCAGGTCAGAGGGAGGCAGGGGATCTGAGGGAGCTACCAGCAGGAACAGTTCACAAAACAAAGGGAAATAAAACCCTTGGTGGGTCTGTACATCTAACTGTACCGAAGTCGGTTCATCTGGAGAGTTTGGGGGTAAATTAATGACAAAAACCGAAAACAGCAAGTGTCTTTTCACAATTAACTCTAGGAAAAACAAAAGGCTGGATGAAAAAAAGAAACATAACAATAAAATACGGCATGGCTGAGATACGATTATGTCTATTGTAATCAATATTAATGTATCCCCAAATTGGTAAAAAGCTACATGGGAAGATGTGCAGAGGAAAAAGTGTAAGGGGAAAAGAGTGTTAAAAGAATTAAACCTTCACCATCCACAGTAAGAAATTGACAACTTGAGCCACAGCCTTATAGGCATGGGAATTTTATGAGATAAACAGCAAAACCAAAACAAATAGCTTTTGTTAAGTAACCACATCTGGGTAATCCAATGGACATGAGAGACGGGGTAGGAATCTGCTATTTTCCTTATAATACCCGTAAGATTAATACTTTCTAAACTATAGACAAATTGCCTTATAAAATAGAAGTTAAATTTCAAAAAAAAATTTCATCCAAAGAACAACCTGTTGTAGACAGTGACTTATTATCTCATGAAGGAATTATAGATCTTTGGAACAAAAGCATTTTGTCTCACAGCAAGAGAGGATTTAGATTTAGATACAAATTTTGCAAAACACTAAGGTAGGTCTTGAAAAGCTAGTTCTCTGCTTAAACTCTTACATGAAATTGAAATCCATTACATTATGAATAAAACTACAGCACATCAGTGCATGTCCTTAGGACCTCACCATTCTGCTCTAGCCCTTGTCAATGAAGGGAAAATTAGATAATCAGGCACTTAGTCTCAAATCTCAAAAGCAGCCACCAATAAGGATTAATTACATTAAATTCAACAAAGCCTCTATTTTTAAAATCAGGCTTGTATGTAAATCTACCTTGTGTGCAAATGAAGCAGGGGTTACAAACTAAGGCGGGGGAGGCCCCAATCCAACCTGCCCGTAGCTCTGTAATACCTACCAGCTAAGAATGGTTTTTATGGGTTTTTTTTAATGGTTAAAAAACAGAAAAACCAAAAGAATATATTTTGTGACACATGGAAAAAAAAATCATGAGAATTCAAATCTCAGTGTCCACAGATAAAGGTTTATTGGAACACAGCCTCGTTTGTTAATGTTTGCATCTATGGCTGCTTTTTACTGATGGTAGACAATGTGTGGCCTGCAAAGCCTAAAATCCTTGCTATCAGGTCCCTTTCAGAAAAAAATTGTTGACCCCTGAACTAAACGATTCTAGTTCTGAATTTCATTTGAAATGAAACTGAGCCAAATTCATATATAAAAATGTGCAGAGGGGCGCCTGGGTGTCTCAGTCGGTTAAGCGTCTGCCTTCGGCTCAGGTCGTGATCACAGGGTCCTGGGATCGAGCCCCGCATCGGGCTCCCTGCTCCGCGGGGAGCCTGCTTCTCCCTCTCCCACTCCCCCTGCTTGTGTTCCCTCTCTCTCTGGGTCTCTGTCAAATAAATAAATAAAATCTTAAAAAAAAAAATGTGCACAGAAAGAGTCCTTGAATCAAGAGATGTTTGAAGAAAGAACCTTAGAGACAGTCTACACAACCCTTAAAATAGTCCAGAGGGATTTAATGATTTGCTTAGGGTCGGTCGGGTAAATGGGAACAGAATCAAGGCTGGAGTCTGATCTCATGGCTCCTCTCTTAGATAAGCATCTATAGCCGAAGTTTTAACCCGAATACTACTCCTTGGTTCCTACTCTACCCTTCAACTTCTTACTCAAACACTTATTTTGTTTTAGTTAAAATGTTAATAAAACGTGCCTTTTATTTTGACGTTTCCCAAATATTTAAAACAAATTCCTGCTGATATTTACTTATGACTGTGCCAAAAAAGCAGCACAGAACACTGATGAAGGACAGTCTTTAGGGTCAGGGAGAGCCAGCTTCTGGCTCTGCCCCTGGGGTATCGCTCTGGCCCCAATAATCATCTGACCTCTCAACTTCACCTGTCTCTTCCTTAAAAGTGAGTGTGTACCTAACTCACAGGAGTGTGGTTAGACTGAATAAAATGGAGGATGTCAAGAACCGAATGTACTGACGGTCACAGAATTCAGAGCTCAAGAAATGTTACCTACTATACTGTCTCATGTCCCGATTTTGATACCCATCATTATCCCTGAAGAACCTCAGAGGTAGTGTTCTCAAACTTCACTGTAACAACCACACTGGTGAACTTGTGAGTGCAGATACCCTCAGCCCCACTCCCAGTGACTCTGATTATTTAATCTGGAAAAGGCAGATATCTGCATTTCCAAGCTCAAGTGTGATTTGGATACAGGTAGTCCATGGAATGGAAACAGTGCTCCTAGATAATGGAAAAGATACCGAGAGGTTAAGAGATGAGCAAAAGCCTAAGTGATCACAGCCTTAATTAAATACGAAATGGCAAGGGACAAAGGACTGCTAATGCCTTTGGCTGTTTCTACTTCCACAACAGTCCTAATTTTTTTTTTTTTTTGCCTTAAACTTATGTTGGGCCCCATAAGTTAATGTTATATACAATATGAAGATTATTTCCCAGTTTATAAAGGTTAGGACTTCCAGTTATACAACCAATTAAATATTTATGGAACTCAAAAAGGTCAGTACTCAGGTCCCCTTGAGACTCGTTTTCTATCCTGGATTTCAGCCACACCACCTGTTACTGTCCCCAGAGAATTTAAGGCTGAACCATTTTACTTATTGGTGTATCTGCAAACAGAAAGAAAAAAAAAAAACAAAAATATGTATTCCAACCTTTCAATACAAACTGAAACAAGCTAAAAATGTGGCTACACACAAGCATGAAACTATACTCTACCTTGAAAAACCCTGATGGGGAATGAGTGTGAAGCAAATCGCATGCAACAGCTGCCCCTTTGGGTAAGGCTTTTCCATTTAAGTGTCAATTCCAAAACCAGCAACAAAAACAGAGCTGACAGTGGCAAGAGTTTCAGAACGTAAATGTACAGGTTCGAGATTACCTTGCTCCAGTCTAAAGCACAGGGAACGCCTTGCTGCTTCCATCTCTGGAGTCGGGTTATCTAGGACGTGTCTACACCACTGCAAAGGGCTCAGGGATTTCTCTGATGATGTGAATGTCTTTGAAGAGCCAACGTATAACCTTAAAAAAAGAAATCTACATTATAGGTATTATATAGGTATATAGAGATGACCTCCCTTCTAGGGAAAACAACATGTATTTCACAGTTTCTATGGAAACAAAACTCACATTGGATTACTTCAAATACCAAAATTATTTTTTAACAGGCAAATACCCCCAAATAAAATGTGATGCTTTCTGTAGCTTGGTGGGAAGGAGGACTTCACAAAACTATGAGAACCTAGGTCTCAGAGTCAGAGATCGGAGGCTTTTGTTATTGAACTAGCCTTGAACAGGCACTGTGATGATCTGACTACCTCACTTGTGTTTGTACAAATGAACGCTTTCATCTCTTTGGTAGCAGAATGCTACATTAACTGGGCTAATTTATGTAAACATGACATGGCAAACAAGGCCAATTTTATGTGCTTTAAAAAAAAAAGTCTATAAGTAAGTGAAAGGCTATTGATTCTCTCAACCCTTAAATAAGCAGATACCCCCCATCTCAAATCTGTACTAAACTTGGTATGTGCTTCTTTCTCACAAAAGCCAAATAGCTTCCAAAGCTAGGCTTTAGGAAAAAATTGCTTTCCAGCATCTATACTATTACATAGTAATGGGTAGAATTCAAAATAACCACCATGAGGCACTTTAAGTTAAAGATTTTCTCTCTGACATATGGTACTAAGGTAAACTACAGAATATTTTCAGTCACAGGGTTATACAAAAAAAAGTTAATCTTTTCAGTTGACTAAAAAAAGGAAGAGAAAAAATTATAATCCCTGCTTCTAGTAATTAACTTTATTTACAAAGCTGTATTGTAATTACAAATCGCATTAAAGTAACACTCCTTTAAACAAAGTTACCATAATTCTAATGAGTACATATTCTTGAAATATCATACTTCATTATTCACTCTCATACCCTTACAGTCAGGAGCCCCCACCTGTCAAGATAATTTCTCAGCTATCCAAGATGGTTGAGGAATGGTACTATTCTTCAGTAAATTCTTCTTACAGATCAGAGGTTGGCAAACTTTTTCTATAAAGGGGCAGCTAGTCAATATTTAGGCTTTGTGGGACACACCGTCTCTGTCACAACCACTCAATTCCATATAACAGCCCCAAAGCATCACAGATGACATGTAATGTGAATAAGTAGGCTGTGTTCCTATGAACTATTTATAGACACTGAAACTTGAATTTCCCATAATTTTCAATGTCATGAATTAGTATTCTTTTGGTTTTTTTTTCAGTCATTTAAAAATGTAAAAATCTCGCTGACCAGCCATACACACCATGCAGCAGGGCCAACTTGCCCCTAAGACACAGTTTGCTAACTCCTGTTACAGGTGCAGATTCTAAAATGTCGTTTAATCGATTCAGGAGTAATCCTAATATCTCATTCTTCCCTTGGTGGACCATGGGCCTCCCTTCATCAAGAGTATATGGATTATTCGTGGGCCCACCTCAGTCTACTCTGACCAGATTAATACCTACCTATGTAAATCCATCCTTTCCACCCTCCCTTGCTAAAAGACCCCTGAAGAGCCCAGTGCTGGGTACCTCGCTCCGGTTCCCCCAAGTAAAGGCTAGTCTAAGTCAGCTGTTCTCAATCTTTGGTGCATCGAAATCTCTTAGTGGGCTTGTTAAAACACAAATTGCTAACACTCGACTGCAGGCAGGTCTAATCTACCTGATTCAGAAGGTTTGGAATATGGTCCGAGAACGTGAATGTCTCACAAGTTTCCAGGTGATGCTGACACCGCTGCCTGGAGACCTCACCCAGAGATGGGCGCACTGGGCTAAGCCGATCTGAGTCATTCCAGCATCCCTGTTTGCCCCATCACTGGCTCAGGCACAGCTCTGGACACAATTCTGGCCACTAAAAACTAACGGGAAATATTCTGATGGGCAAGTTTCTCATTTTTAAAGTAGTCACAAAAGACCTAAGTATATGCTGCCTACAACATATGCACTTTAAATATAACCACACAGGTGAAAAGTAAAAGGATGTAAAAGTAAAATACCCACAACGAAAAGCCTAGGCCTAGAAGGTTTCACTGCTGAATTCTACCAAATATCACCGAGAAAAGAAATTGAAGACCGATATTCCTCATAAACACAGAAGCAAAAATCTGGATATTTTAGCAAATTGAGTCCAACCATATATAAAAGGGATACTTCATCATTACGAAGTGGGGTTTATCTCAGGAATGAAAGGTCGGCTTAACACTCAGTGTAGCTTACCAGAGAAAAGGCATATGATAATCTCAACAACAACAAAGCATCTGACATCTATCCCTGATAAAAACTCTCAGCAAATTAAGAAGGAAACACATTTGATCTGATTAAAGGCATCTACAAAAACAGCATTCTTAATAGTGAAAGACTGAACACGCTTCCCCTAACATCAGGAACAAAACAGGACTAGAGGTTCTAGCAGTGCAATCCCGTAATAAATAAAAACATTTAGACTGGAAGTAAATAGTCAATCTATGTTTATTCACAGATCACACGATTATCTATGTAAAAAATCTGAGGAACCTACAAAAAAGAGACTCGAACTAATGAGGCAGTTTAGGAAAAAGACTGTAGCATACCAGATCAACATACAAGAGTTAAGTGCATTTCTATACTAGCCACAATCAGTATTTTTGAAATTTCACTTCTCATTTACACAAAAACCATAAAGGATAAATCTGATAAAGGATATCAAGCCCTATACACCAGAAACTACAAAACGTTCTGAGAGAAATTAAAGATATAAATGCAAAGACAGACCACGTTCACGGATCAGAAGACTAAATATTAAGATGTCGATTATCCTTCAATGTACCCACTTAACTAAATCCCAAAACTTCAGTAAGCTTCTTGAAGAAATGTGAAAGCTGATTCTAAAATTCATATGGAAATGCAAAGATCCTAGAATAGTCAAAACCACCTTGAAAAAACAATGAAGTTGGAGAGCTACCACTGAGTGGGACACATTACAAAGTTACAGCGGTGAAGACAGTTTAGTAGGACATGAAGACAGATCAATGCAGAAACAAGATGGCCCAGAACTGTACACATATGGAAAACTGATTCTTGACAAAGTATAAAGACAATTCAATGAAGAAAAGATAGCCTTTTGAGCAAATCATGCTGAAACACATGGATATCTATATACAAAAAATAAATTTTGAGCCATACTTCACACAACATCCAAAGTTAACTCAAAACAGATTTACAAAAATGTCAAACCTGGAACTATAAAATTTTTAAAAGAAACCATAGGCAAAGTCCTTGTGTCCTTGGGTTGGCAATTATTTCTTAGACAGAATTTTTTACATGGAAAAATATCCATAAAAGAAAAAAAAATTTTTATCAATTGGACTTCACTAAAATTAAAATTACAACTTTGCTCCTTGAAAGACACTAATAGAATAAATGATAAACCACAGATTGGGTAAAAATATTTGCAAATCACATATCTGATAAAAAAAACTTGTATGTAGAATATACATAAGAACTGTGCAAACTCAATAATAAGCAACCCAATTTTTAAAAATGGACAAAAGATTTGAACAGACATTTCACCAAAGAAAATCTGAATGGCAAATAGCACATAGAAAATATGCTCATCATTTGTCATGAGGGAAACGCGAAGTAGAACCACTATGAGGTACTACTACACACCTATCAGAATGGCTCAAATTAAAAAGACTGGCCACGGCCAGTATGGTGAGTGCAACTGAAACTCTCATACGGTGCTGGCATAAACATGAAACAGCCTAACCACTTTGGGAAAGATTTTGGCAGCTTCCTAAGACGTTAACATACACCTACTCTCTGTTCCAGCCTCTCAACAGCAGTTAAGTATTTATCCAAAAGATATGAACGCATGCGTCCACACAAAGGCTTATCTGTAATAGCCAAAACTTGAAAATGGCCCAAATGTTCATTAAAAGATGAATGGATAAAAAAAACCATTGTTACGTCCATACAGTCTAACAGTTCTCACAATAAAAAGGTATGAACTATTGATTCATGGAACACAGAATTTCAAATTATCTTGATTGTAAGAAGCCAGACCAAAAACAAATGAAAAATGGTACATACTATATAATTTCATAGGTATGAAAGTATAGGAAAATGCAAACTAATCTAGACTGACAGAAAGCAGACCAGTGGCTGGACGCCTTGATGGCAAGTAGGCAGGAGCAGGAGAGAGGGAATACAAAGGGGCCACAAAGAAACTTGGAGCATTAAGATATGGTCAGTCTCTTGACTCCAGTGATGGTTTTATGGGTGTGTGTATATGTCAAAACCTAGCAAATAGTACATTTTAATATATGCAGCTTATACTTCACTTATACCTCAATAACGCTTAAAAAAAAAATTCACGAGACAGGAACTGTTTTCTGTCCTTCAATGTCCTTGAGACCGGAGTAGCCATTCCAGGTGAATCAGATGGATTCAGGTGAAACAAACAAGCAGGTGCCCCAGCCCTGACATAAAGGAGCCACTAAATCAGTCAACCATGGAAATTTACTTATTTTGTTTTAGAGGTGAGGGGAGAGACAGAGATGGCAGGGAGAGGCAGAGAGAGAGAATCTAAAGCAGGCTCCACACCCAGTGTGGAGCCCAACACAGGGCTTGATCTCACGATCCTGAGATCATGACCTGAGCCGAAATTGAGTCGGCTGCTTAACTGACTGAGCCCCCAGGTGCCCCTTTTTTTTTTTTACTTAGCTTCCTTTTTTTAGAGAGGGAGAGAATGGAACTTATCTTTAGACTTCTTTAATAAGTTATCCCCACTGTTTGATACACACACAAATTCATGTCACTGCCTGAGTCTCTGTTCTCAAATCCCTCTCACTGCCTCCTGAAACTACTGGGTGAAGCACTGTTCTGCTCATTACCTCTAGCATCATAAGAAAAACTGCTCCTATCTTCTATTAGCTTCCACCAACCAGGTTGCCTCAGGATTTTAGGTACTTCCGCCAGTTGGATTTTTTTCTGGTAGTTTCTTGTGGG